GAGCTGCCGAGCGCGCGACTGCAAAGAGCGACGGCCGGCTGAGGCGACGGCGCGGCGCAGGGAGTCGGGGAGCTGGGCAACAAGGACAGGGCTGAGGAGGGTGATCGTCTTGGCGAGGTAGTCTGCGCGGAGGTGTTCACGACGGAAATAGCGGGGGCGGAGCAACTTCCGCGCGAGCGACCACTGGCGGGGGAATGCGGCCCTCGCCGCGCTCCGAATCATGAGGCCTCTACCCGGAAAGGAGCGCGGGCGACGAAGGACAATCGCGTTTCGGGCGAGCCGGGGAGGAAGGCGGAGGAAGGGGGAAGTGGCTGAAGTCCGCCGCGTCCGCCAGCATTTTCATATATTTGGCGCGCTCTGGAGAGCAAAAGATGCCCTTCGGGATGGGGCGCCCACAGACATGTAGCTCGTCGCGGAGGCGAAGCACCAGTGGTCAGAAACTTGCTGGGCAGCTAAGAGTTCGGGCTGGTCAACCACCGCAGCCCCAGGGGAGAACTGCGAGAGAATCCAGCCAAGCGACGAAACACAAGTTCGATCGATGAACGAGAGGCGGCGCGCCGGAGCGTTGAAAATGGAGGTGGTGGCCAGCTCAAACTCCACCGCGCGCTCGAGAGCTCGCCGCCAATCGAGGAGAAGTGGGAGAGGATTGAGTTCAACAGACTTATTCGCGGGGTTCAACGGGGCGGAGTTGAAGGCTGGGAGGTTAAAGCCCCCAGATATAAAGACCAAGAACGCAATGTGATCCCGTTCAGCTGCATTCAGGTTTGCGCTGATAGAGCCCAGGAGAGACTCACCTTCATCGTCATAGAGCCCGAAATTGTGAATGTTGTAGAGCTTGACCCAACGCGCACCCTTCGCCGCTGCAGATTTTGCGAGAGGGCGCCCATGGATGAGGGGGAAGAGGAGATCATTGGCTGCTCGCGTCCGAATTCCTCTCGACGCTCGGCCGAGCGCGCGAAGCGCGGGCAGGGGGTGGCCGCGCCGCCCGCGGAGGCATCGAAGGCAAGGTGGGGGTGGTGGAGAAGGTCGTTCAGCTCAGGCTCTGAGCCGCGAGGCCCCCTGGAAGGCGACGGCGCTGCCCTGCGCCTGCAGCCGGCGGACGCATCGGGCGCGCCTGGCTCTCGCACTCGCCAAGTTACGACTCGAAATGAGGCGAGGGGCGGAGGGGGGGGGGGGGGAGAAGCGCCGTGCCACAGGGCGCAGCATTGGCAAGGAACTCCACGCTGTTGGCTCAGGCCCGCGGAGCGCCCGCTCAAGAAGCAGGGCGCCTGCAGCCTGGTCCAAACCTTCGGCGTGAATGTTGGCGGCGGCAAACTCCACCCGCGGCTGCTCCTGCGTCTGGCTCGGCGTGATCTTGTCCAGCGGGCGCCAGTTGCTTGATATATCACCGTTAGCTTCGTTGGGAAAAAAACGGCGCTGCGGCTGCTGGCCCTCGATCGCGCGACGGGCAGCGCGGCGTGCAACCTCGCGCTTGATCGCGCGCGCATCCTTGCCGGGGGCAACAAAAAGCTCGTCGCGTGGAAGAGCCTCCAGCTGGCGCCGGGCCGCCCGTCGCCCCGCTCGGGGCGAGCATTGCCTGCGCGACTTGCCGCGAGGCAAGGTGCGCCGCCGAGGCGCGGGGTGAACCTCTCGCTCGTCGGGTCTGCGCTCTTCAGCTTCCAGTCGGCGTCGTCGACGTTGGAGCCCTGAAGCCGTCCGCGAAGTCCACCCGAAGCAGTTGCAGCAGTGACCAAGAGTTTCGAGCGGACAATGCTGATCGACTGGTCGATCTCGCGATCCCAGGCCGAGTCGCCGATGGAGTGTCGGACACGGTTGGGCTCCTTCTTGGCAACAGCCAGCTCGTTCCGCAGTTCTCGAACAGCCCCGCCAAATGATATGAATGTGTAATCCTGGGCTGTCTGGTGATGCTCCATTCTGGAAACGCGGGTCTCCATCTGCTTGTGCATCTCGGAGTACGAAGCGCTGGCCGACTCCTTGAGGCTGGCCATGGCAGCCGTGACGCTGTCGGCGGCACCGCTTGCATTCCGCAAGACATCTCGCATGTTCTGGTCGACCTGGGTCTTGATATGGGCCATGTCAGAACGGAGCACCTCCACATCAACACGAAGAGACTCGGAGGCAGGACCCGTGACCTTGTATCGCTTGTCCTCGCGGCGCGCTTCCACCATTCCTGGGGCGGGAAGGTCGGTGCCGCATCCATTGCAGCGGCGGGGGCATCACGTTACAGCGGCGAGGGCATCCCGTTATTGAGAATTGGGAGGGGTTCCAGTTCGCGTCGGAGTGGCAACCTGCAGGCCAGTAGGAGAAGCATTGCTCGCCATCTCTGGCCAACAGAATTGGCACCCACCTCGCTCGCCATCTTTCGCATTCCTCACCATCTCTCATAATGGTGGGAAGAACGGTGGGCGGGAACAAATGGCTCCGTCAGGCCTCGGGCAGGCTCAGACGGGGGACTTGAAACGACACGCCGAAAACTCTCAAGCCTGCCGCACGGCTGCGGACAAGCTCGAAGCCTCGCGGTAAGGTTTCGAACTTGAACCAAAATTGCTTGAGCCAAATGGCTACGGACCTCCTTCCTCCCTCCTCCGTCCTCCCTCCTCCGTCCTCCCTCTTCCCTCCTCTTCCTCCTCCTCCTCCTCCTCCTCCTCCTCCTCCCGCCTCCCGCATCCCTCCTCCCTCCTCTTTCATCCTTCCGCCCTCTTCCCTCCTCCCTCCTCCCTCCCCCCTCCTCCCTCCTCACTCCTGCCTCCTCCGTCCTCCCTCCTCCGTCCTCCCCTCCCCCTCTTCCCTCCTCCCCCCTCCCCCCTCCTCCTCCGCTTCCTCCTCCTCCTCCTCCTCCTCCTCCTCCACCTCAGGACGAGCTGGAAGACCACAGAGAGTGCGAACCTGGGTGCCACCTCGGGCCGAGCAACAAAAAGGCGGTCGAAACGACTCATGAACGCAAAAAGAGCCACCACCGACAGCAAAACTCCACAGAAACCCGTCCCCAAATGCCCCCCCCACCGGGCTGGTGGCACTCCGTTCTGGGCACTCTCTGGGGGCACGCCCGAAACGGGCTGCCACCAGCTCGGGGGGGGGGGGGGGCGGGCGGCCGGCCCCATTAGCTGGTGGTGGCGGTTCTTTCTTCTCTGGTGAACAGAGCCGCCCCGTGGAGGCGAGGGGCAGTAGAGGCAGGCCGCGCGGCCAGCAAGTGAGGCGCAGCATGGAACGAGGGACAAACGAACATCGTTTATCCCGTCCCTATCTCCAAAGGCGTGGCCTGGGCACCACTGGCCCAATGTACCCCCCTGGATGGGATATGGGCGTTTCCCTCCGGGTTTCGCGGGGCATATCTCCAACTGGGATGGTAAAATGTTGGAGTTCGGGGGATAGGGATCCGTTAAGCGATGCTGAACAAAGGGCCGATGCAGCACCAGACTTGGGAAGTCAGAAGGTACCGACATCTCTACTCCCTGGACCTCTCCCAGTGTTCGTTCTGACCAGGAGTTCGAGGCGAATCCAGTGGTGGCCACGAGGACATCCCAAGAGGCCGAAAAAGGCGAAAACGAAGGAAAAGTAGTGGTATGGGTACCTTTTCCTTCTCTGAATGGGGATGGAGACAAAGATGGGTTAAACGATGCTGAACAAGGGCCAGTGATGCGTCACGGAAAAGGGAGAGCAGGACGACCCACCACAGGAGAAGGAGCGGTGGCGGGCAGTGGCCCGGGCGCAGCGGGCCCGCGAGCAAGGTACGGCAGGTGCGGCAGTGACAGCGGCAGCCAGTGGGGCTGCGAGGCCGCGCAGGTGAGCATAGTTGAACCGATCGCTATACCCACTGACGTGGCCTTGGTGCCACTGGCCGAATTACCCCTCCCCTCTTCGATGGGGTATACGCTGTTCCCTTTGGGTTTCGCGGCTTATCTCCTTAACTCGAGGGGGGAGGGTGGCGCCTACGTACCATGGCGTGGTGGGGACGGGGATCGGTTAGACGATGTTGAGCAAGCAATGCAATCAAGAGCGAGAGCCAAGGGCAGCAGCGGACAGCCGGGATGCTGCGCAGGAAGTGCAATCAGCAGCGAGAACCAGGGGCAGCAGCGGGCAACCGGGGCCGCATGAGGGGCAGTGCAAGCGGGGACTGCACCGCGTCCACGCTGGCGTCCAACGCGACGGCCGCCCTGGCACAGAAAGGAGGCCCGAAGGCACGGGGCCCTTCAGTGTGGGCGGCACCGCGGCGCCCGCGCAGAACACGTGCCATCTCCCAACGCCGCCTGCCAGGGGCGAGGCGGGCGGGGAGACAAGGAAGGAGCTGGAACCCAGCTCCACGAGCTGGGCGTGGGGGCAGGGGGAGGGAGGCAACAAGGCTCGACCCAATCGGTGTTTTCCCTTTTCGTTATGTTTTCGTTTCCCCGCGTTGTGTCATCCCCCAACCTCCGCGTCAAAACAACACCGACACGAAACCGGCCCACGAGATCGCCAAAACACGAACCCCGCAGGACACCATGCCCAGTTCATCTTGGGGCCGCGGCGGCAACTCGGCCTAGCCTAGCGCCGCACAGCCCCCCCGCGGCCACACAGAGGTACCCACGGGAGCTCCAAGGGGTACCCCAAAGAAGGGGAAGGGGGAAGGGGAAGGGGGGGGAAAGGGGGAGGGGGAAAGGGGGAAGGGGAGGACGGAACCCCACAGGGGTGCCCACGGCACTGAGTCGCTGGAACCGCTTCTCTGGCGCGCCAAACGCGCCAGGGGCGGCGACGGAAACGTCGCCAGGGGGTCCAGCGCCGATCCAAAAACTCCTCGCGGTTTTTGCTTCTATCATTCTCCCCCACCCCACTTTTCCACCTCCTCCCCTCCCCCTTCCATCCACTTCCCCTCCCTTCCCCCTTCCCGCGTCCTCCCCCTCATGCCCGTTTCCCTCCTCATCGTCCTTCCTTCCCCCTTCCCTCCCCCTCCCCTTCTCCGCGACTGTTCCTCCCACATCACCCCCCTCCTCGTACCGTCTTCCTTCCGCTGCCGAGGGCCCGGCTCATCTTGGAGGGGCAGTAGAAGTCCTTGTAATACACCTGCGACAGGGGGGAGGACTGGGCACGGCCTCCAAGCTGGGAGGCCCCCCCCCCATCCCCGCTTCCCGGCGGAGCAAAACAACAGCTTGAGCATGAGCTGTCGCAGCTCTGTGCGGAGCTTGCCGCCCCATCGTCGCCTCGTCCAGCCCCACGCGGGCCCCCCCGCTGTGGTGAAGCCAAGGGATGGGTTGGGTTGTAAGGCGCTTGTAATATAGCCGGAAAGCAGTTGCAAGGTAGGTGCAGCATGGTTACAAGTCGGCTCAGCGTTTGTGGGACCAGGTATCTTACGTAGCTACATGGGCAAGTCGCATAGCATTTGCATCAGTTGGCCTGCACTTGTGCTACCTTGTCTTTGACTCGGCCTAGTTGTATCTTTACGCAGCGAAATTATATGTATGGTTGAAGTGGGATTTGCTAAATGTTAAAAACAGAATGCCGCTTAACATTTTTGTATGCGGATAGGGCCCGCATTGCGTCTTTCTGATGTTCATACGTCGCCCACGGGGCAAGTATGACTTGAATAGTTCAACTGCGTGGAGACGCATCCGTCGCTGGATTATGCGCCAGGTGGCAATTGCAGGCTCGACGAGCGACTCGGCGAATAAAAAAAAGCCCGCGTTTGCAGGAACTGCATTCTCCATAATGCCTCGCAAGTGTTATTTTCATGCATCACGCATGCACTCGTTGCAACGAGTGCCATTGTTTCCAATGAGATCACATGATAAATCAAAAAGAAGGTTGCTGTCTCCGCCGCGGGACTTGCAGTGACGATGTGTATGCGCGTCAGGCTCGAGCTCGCTTCTCTCTTCTGCACTCGCTGCGTTTCCAGTGCGCGCGATGCTGAATTTCGATCCGCAAGAACTGGTGGACTTCATCTGCGGGCGCATCGAGACGCATCGCGATGGCAAGCTTGCCCCGATCACAGCCCCGAAGGATTGCGTCGACTGCACTTCGGAGGAAAAGGTCGCCAAGCAGATCGTCGCCGAGGCGGGCAATTTTACCATCCGCCCCTCGAACCGTTCTGGCCTCGGCGCGACCGCCTACAACGTCCGCGGGGCTGGCGCCATGCTCAGGCAGATCGGCGATGGACCTGCAAAGCTCGAGAAGGCGGTTGTGTTCGAGCGCGTGCCCACGGAAACGATGAAGTAGTTCCAAATTGCATTCAATCAAAACTTGGTCTCGACCAGTAAGGGCACGCTGGCGCCGACGGCGGGCGCGGAGAGTTTCTTCGCGGTGGGGGCGGGCCGCGCCGCGCAGGATTTCAAGACTGCCAGGGCAAATTGTTCCGCGCCTGAACCGACCCTCGCCGACCCGGCGATGGGCGGGGAGATGATCGCCGAGGCGCTGTCCCATGACGCGCGTTTCCACGTCGCTCTCACGAAGGGCTGGCGTTGGACCGCCTTGCCGTGGCAGGCAGAAGTCACATGGCCCCGCCTTCCAGACGCGGAACAGTGCGCCCTCAACGCGAGAAACAACGCTGCCAGTTTGATGTCGGGGCTCGCAGTGTGCGCGAGCACTGCAGATTTTGCAGAACTGATGTCATCGGGGTCTTCTTTCGGCGACTGCGTTGGTGCAGCGAAAATGAACCGGCCTCCTTGCCGGGCAGGCTGCTTGGGGTTGCTTCTATTGCAAATGCGCGCGGCGCATGCGGGCGCGGCCGCGGCGCGTTGAAACGCCGGTGACGCGTGGCCGATTGCGTTTCTCCGACATGCGTCTTGCCTGCGGCCTGCGCTGTGGCCGCGCGCGCCTGCGCCGCGCAGCATCTGCACGGGGGGGGGAGGGGGCGTCTCCGCCGAGAGGACTGCGTTGATAAGATTGGCAACCTCGCGACGCACAGTGGCGAGGGATCTGGCGCACAGTTGATTGAGTTCAACGATCGGTTTGGCAAGTTGCACGGTGCTCACAAGAAACTCGGGCAATAATTCGCCGCGTCAGTTGTCGACGCCCATTTCGACGATCTCGAGCCGTGCGCATTCCTGCGCATCGCATCCTTGCACACCTGCTTCCGATCAGCAGTCGGACGGCGTGGCGGAACTATTGGTTCCCAGCGTTGATGGGGAGGTTGAACGGAAAACCCGTCACGGACAAAGCGATTGCGCTCGACAAGGACCTTTCAACATGTTATCGCATCGCAGACTCCCTGCGCGCCAGCGGCCACGTCGACCTAGAGCAGCATGGCATGCGGGTTGGAAAGTTCTGGACTCGTTCAGGTTTTTTGCGCCTAGCCGGGAAGGGCAAGCGAGGGCCAGAGGGCGTCGTTTAGGAGAGCCAAGCGCCGATTAGCTCACACTTCGTATCTGAGGCAGCCAATATATCTGGCTGCGGCGTTGTCGTAGACCCAGGCGGCGAGTGGACGCCTCATGCGCCCCTTGAAGCCAGCGAAACGCCTTCTACAGATGGCAGGGTGGTCGTGATGACCCAGAGAGACCTGCGCAACGCAGAGCGCATCTTGGCAACCAAAAGTTTCACTGTCGGGAGCGTCGTGTTTGAGCGCGCCGTGGGCGCGAACGCGGGGCTGTACAAGATAGCGTCGATTAGTTCAGCCGAAGTAACCATGAGGCAGCTGACAGCATTTTCTGAGCCCACGTCTGACGCGAAGGTCGCCCTCGCGCTCTTCTTGGAGGAGTGGGCGTCGTACAAGGGCAGCGTGACCTTTGCAGTGCCGATGTCTGCAGGGACGTGCGCCGTGGCGCACCGTCTGATGGAGGCGGATGAGGCGCGTTGCGCTTCAAAGCCCTCGAAAGTTTCGAGTCGACTGCCAACGATGGCGCGATGTTACAACGCGGCCTTGCCCCCAGCGTCGTCGTTGCTGCCCGGCAGACCGACAGAGGCAAGCTCGCCCTTGCCCCGTTCTCTGAGCTGAACGACATCAGGCCAAGCCGTCGCAGGGCGCGGTCCAGGCCAAGCGCGGGCCCGCAGCGACGCGCGCATCGCTCCCGACGAGGGCGACCGATGCGCAGCAGGCCGAAGCAGAAGAGGTGTTCTACATTCCTTATTGGTGGGTTCGGGAGACGGACAAAGAGGACCTTGCCGACGTTGCCCCGGTTCAAAAGAGCACCGGCCATAACAGTTTCAAAGCTTACGAGATTATCGAGACCTTGCAGCAGTTCGACAACATGCTCGCATATAAAGTCAAGAAGCACCATGCGCGGCTGCAGTCTGCAAAGAGGGTCAAGCTCTCGGAGGGGGGCGCCACGCCTGAGGGCAAGGCTGAGGCCCGGCAGAACTAGGCCTCCTCCAAATGGTGACAGGAAGTCGCCAACTCCAGCGATGTAGTGCGGCCGCCATTCGATCGCCAATTGATTGCGCAGCGCATCGCGTCCCGCGCGGCGTGCGAATGGCGCGGGTTAAAACGCCATGCGGGGCACGCTGCATACGCGTGCAACGCTTTCACATTTGAGACATCGCCCAGATGCGTTTTCACGAACATGCTAACGACCCCTGTCCGCAGCAGTCACGCGAGCTGCCGTTTGCGGGAGAGGCGCGGGTGGAGTCATAGCGAGGGATATGCGCAAACACATGCTCAACATTACGCCTGCAACACTATCCATGTCTAGCCGTCTTCCATTTCTCTCCATCTCGATAGATGCGTTGTTCCGTCACTCCCCCCTCTCAACCCCTGTATTGAGAATGTCCTCCTGTGTACGGTCGATATGTCTCTCTTTCGCGCGTCTGCCTCCTCATGCGCGCGCCGTGCGCACCGTCCATTGATGGCCCGCTTGTCAGGCGTTTTGCTTCGAGCGCTGCGCGCGTTGTGTTCGTGGATCGTGGCGCCATGGCCACGCTGGAATGCTCGGTTGCTTGGAAGCTCGAGGTTGCTGTTGGCCGTCGCGCGTGGCCCGCAGGGCTGTTCAGGAATGCAGCGACGACGTGCGCGCCGAGATCCACCCATGCGGTTGCAGTTTGATCGAATAGCGTTTGCTCTGCTCTGGGGAGGAATGCCCCAAGACGTCGGCCAGCCCATCTCTCGCCAGCACTCCTGGGTACAAAGGAATTCTTGCTGCGAAAAACGACCTCCTTCGCAGAGATGCGCCCGCGCGCAAGCCCGCGCGGCGCCTCTGTGCTCAGAGGAGCAACCCGAAGCGGAGGCCCAAGGCAAATCATAAACCACGCCAATTGATCAGGGCCCAGAGAGAGGGGCCGCCCATGGTGATGGACGTCCAATTGCCCTCAATCGGCGACGTGGCGTTCGCATCGGTCAAGATGCTGCCCCCAGACAGGAGCACCGACCACATGTGGGCCGACGCTTCCGGCGACTCCATCTGCGCACTCGCGCAATGCATCTTCGCGCGCGGCGTCACCACCCCCATCGCCACATCGAAGAAGTCTCACATTTACAAGAAAAGCGGTGCCGACGAAGAAGATGAGGGTGCCAGCGACCAGAAGGACTTCAGTGAACATGAGGTCTAACATAGCGATGCATTTGACCGTGCAGATGCGCCATGCTAGAGCTAAGTCGCGAGTGTTAGGATCACGCCGCCAATGTTCCACATCGGCCCCTGCCAGAGCGTACCAGCAACAATTCGGATATACATGAATGCGCAGAGGTTTGCAGAGATGCTCCGTTGCTTTACGCACGCCTGTCTTTAGCGATACGTTGCTCGACATCTGCCGCGTCAGATTCGCTCGCCGCATGCGCGCCAAGCTTGACCATCCACTTGCTTTCAGCACCTCCGCCTCCTCCCTGATCGCACCCTCGCCGAATTGCCGTTTGTGCTCTAGCCTTTCGCGGCTAGGCTGGCGGTGCCAGCCCTCTCTTGCGCCGCCGCCGCGGGCCCGCCGAGGCCCCCGAGCCTCTCGCGGGCTCCAGGCGCCGCCCCGCGCTCGGGCGCCCGACGCCGAGCACCCGGCGCCACGTCGGCTGCGCGCGAGCTCCCGGCTGGGCAAGCCATCGCCCGGGGCTGATCAGCAGGGCGCCCAAGGGATTACGCGCGGCAAAACTTATCAGCCCGCCCGTCTTCGCCAAGTTCACGTTCATTCGTCGCGCGCCGATCGCGGCC